GGGGGGGCCGGTGTCGGGTCCACGCGACAACCTGCCCCTCGTTCGCGTCAGCAAGGTACCCCCCCCCCCCCCCCCCCCCTCCCTCTTTCGGCCCCCCCCCCCCCCCCCCCCCCCCCCCAGCCCCGGCTCGCTCGCCTTCCTTCTCCTTCGCTTCCAAGACTGGGCCGCCTGCCCCGGCCCTGCTCCCCGCCTTAGCCGGCCGGTTCCACCCTCTCCCGTCTGGCCACTGGCCCGTAGCCCTGGTCCCCCGATGCGCGCGCGCGAGCGGTGGCCGCCGTTCCCACCGCGCCCGGTGAGCAATTAAACAGCCAGTTCAACAGAGGGGAGCGGGCCACTCCTCCCCAGCATGATATATCCCTCGCCCGCCCAAAGGGAGGGAGGGGCCACCCCCCATCATTAGATCGACCGGAATAGCGAGGCCCCCCCCCCCCCCCCCCTGGAGGCCGTCCGCCCGGCCGCGGTCTCCGGGGGCATGCTTACACACGGACGCACCCCGCGCGCCGGCACGCAGGCGCTGCCGGGCGCATTCGCGCGCCTCCACGCGCGGGCGGCCCAGCCAGCCGGCCAGTAACGCGCGCGCTTAGACGGCCTCCGGGCCCCAAGGCCCGCCTTGTCCCGCCTTTTGAGTTCCCAATTCATGACCCCCCGCGTCAGGTGCAGCCGGCCGGGTCGGAGGCTGCTGACCCTGCGCGCCGGCGGACCCTGCGCCGCGGTGTGCCGGGATCCCCCCCCCCCCTCTGCCGGAAAGCGCCCGCTGCTCGGGCGGGAGGCGCCAAGATGGCACCGCGCCCGTGCCGCCGCCCTCGTCCACACTCCCGCCCGCCCGAGGGGGCCTGGCACACAGATGACCCACTCTCGCGGAGCCGCCAGTCTGCCCTCCGACGTTTCGCTCCCGCACCCCCCCCCGCCCCCGGGCGCCTCGGGACACAGGGCCGAAGCACGGCAGGCAGCCAAGCCCGGCCAGCCTCCGGCGTCTTCCCCCGTCGTTCCCCGCCCTCGTCCCCCCCCCCCCCGGTCCTCTGGCCGCGTACTCATGGCGGGAACGCATGCGTGACCGCGGCGTGACCATGGTGATGGAGATCCGCCCGCCCGTTCGCCAAGCATCGCGAGACACGCCCGGGGGGGGGGCGGCCCTTTTTCGTGGACGCTCCTCCTGGCAGGCCTTGGTTGATGCTGGTGTCCGGCCGATCTTCCTCCTGGCAGTGCTCGCTGAGCGGGTGCGGCCCCTTCCTCGCCGCCGGTGAGGCGCGCGGTGCCCCAACTTAAGCACGAATCCGCGTCCACCACCTCCCCACAACCAGCCGGTCAAGTAGGGACAATCTGGTCGGGAATGGCGCCCCAGATGCGTAATCGAGTCAGACAGAACCGCATTACACGGTTAAATGTACACCCATGTTAAGTTTCCGGTCCCAGCGGCCGGAGGTGCCCCCCCCCCCCCCGCCCGCCCGTCCGGTCGTCCAAACAGGCGCCAGCCCCTCGGGCGGGGGAGGGCGGGGGAGGGCGGGAGGGAGAAGGTGGGAAAGCATCTTCATGCAGCATCCTGCCCACCCCCCGCATGCCAGCCCTTCGCCGAAAGGTGACCACGAAGCCGCCAGATCATTCCCCACCCAAAGGGGGTCGTGCTCCGGGCTGGGGTCCTCGATCGCGTCCATCGAAGAACGCGAGCCCCTTCAAGAACCGGTGCCCTGGTTCACGTCGCGCCAGGCGGCCCCCATCCTGTTCGCCGACGCTCGTTCCTCCCCCCCCCCCTTTGCCCTTTGTCGCGACCTCTTTCCCTCTTCCTTCGCTCTTCCCCCCTCCCCTCCCCTCTCTCCCTCTATCGCACCCCTCCGCCCCACGCCTCGACAGCCTTCGGAAAGCACACCAGGACCATGCTCAGCGGCGGGCCCTTCTCCACGCTTGTTCGGAGATCCTTCTCCACCTTCCGTCCGCCTGGCAAGCGGCCGAACTTCCTCAATTCCGATCGCTCGCGCCGCGTCGCCGAGGCCGCCAGCAAGCCGCTCTATGCCAACCAGTCGGCCTCGGCCTCCGGCCAGGGGACCTCCTCGTCGCAGACCCCCGACAGCAACCCCTCCGCGCACTACACCCCGTCATACATGCCCCCGGAGACTCCCTTCTCTTCCTCTTCTTCCTCTTCCTCCTCCTCCTCCTCCTCCTCCTCCTCCTCCTCCTACTCCTCCTCCTCCTCCTCCAGCGCCGCGGCGGGCCACGCCTCGACTTCCAGCTCCTACGAGGCCGGGGTTTCCGGTGCGCCGCCCGTCACCTGGCCCGGTGCTGAATCTACCCCTCTCGATATGGCGCGCTTCATGCTGAATATGCCGTATGTGATCCTGCGCCGTCCCATGCGCTGGTCCAACCTCCTGCTGGACATCGATGTGGCCTTCAAGTACTCGATGGACACGCCGCGCGCCCACACCGACCCGGCCTTCGTGCAGGTCCCCGGCGCTCCGACCGAGCTGACCCCCCTCGGCGAGGCCATCGAGATGAGCAACGGCCTGAAGGGCTTCCTCCAGCGGACCCTCCTCAAGCGTCGCCACTGGTCACACATCCGTGTGCAGGACTTCTACGGGCGCGATCTATTTGTCATTCGGCGGCAGCCCTTCCTGGTGAACTCCGTCACCCGGATCTATGACCCCTCTGAGACCATGCTTCTGGGCGAGGTCCGCCAGGTGTGGCACCTGCTCAGCCGCAAGTATGATCTCTATGCCGAGTGCGTCGGTCCTTCGCTCTGACCTCCGGGACCCCTGCCTGGGTCTCTCCTCGTCGCCGTCTTTCGCCCTCTCTTTTTCCTGACAACTCATCTTGGCACCCTCCCCTTGGTCTCTCCCTCGCCCCTGGGTCTCTCCCTCGCCCCTGGGTCTCTCCCTCGCCCCTGGGTCTCTCCCTCGCCCCCGGGTCTCTCCCTCCTCCCCGCCCCCCCCCCCCGCCCCCCCGCTTAGCGGCGAGCGTTTCGCCCATACCGATGGTGGCATTTTGGCTTGGACCTATCCGGTCCAATCGACTACAGATGGCCAGCTGATGACCGTCACCCAGCGTGTTTTCACGGCGCTGGCGCGCGAGGTTCGGCCGCCCCTCTTTTCCTTGCCCCTTCCACTTCCTCTCATCCCCTCTATCGGTGTCTTCTGCCCTCCCTCCGACGGACATGTGTCCTTCCCTATTCCCATGCTGACCTCGCCTCCCCTGTCTCACCCTCCCCCCCCCCCCCCCCCACCCCCGGTCACACCGCACTGGCAATCAATAGCTGTTCGTTGACCAGAGTGTCTTCGTGGTGGGGATGGACGCCCAGCCGCCGAACTGGCCGGGGCCGCCCAATGCCTCCCAGCGGTTGGGTGTCGTGCCGGAGAAATACCGGCCCGCCCTGCTCGCTCTGGCCTTCGCCATTGACATCGACTATTTTGCTTTCCGGCATTAGAGCCACCAACAGCCATGCCATGTATCTGCACACGCGCGTGCATCCCGTTGCTGTTGTCCCCGTGTCCCATACACGCAGGTGGAGGCAGACCCACCCAAGTCCCAGTCTATGCGAGCGTCTATTTAGTGTGTGGGTGTGTGGGTGTGTGGGTGTGAAAAAATGGGAGACAGAGGGAGGGGGAGAAAGAGGTAGAGAGGGGGCGGGGGGAGGAGCAGAAGGAGACAGGGAGATAGAGGGGAAAAGGGGGGGGGGGGAGGGACACAGTGCCGCATGCAGCCGGGCGGGCCAGCAACTTCTATTCACAGGCGTGGCTACCTCTCGTCCCTCCTTTCGGAGCTGGGGCTCCTTGGCTCTGCCATCTCTCGGTGGCGGCTGGAGGCCGCGCCGCCTGTCTCCTCTACTCTTGATCCTCCGGGAGCGAGGTGGGCTCACTCGCCGGGATGACCGGTATGGCGTTCCCCTTGGACACAAGCATGGCCGACAGCTCGGCCACACTGCGCATCGGATCGAAAGTCCCATTGCCGAACCAGGCCGGGGTCAAGCCGATGGAAATGTCCGCCGCCAGGGCCTGCTGCGCCAGGCGCACCAGGAAGTCCGATCCATAGATGACCGACCCGACCGAAGCGACAGACGGTTGGAAGCGGACCGGCGTGCCGGGCAGCACCGTCACCGTGGCATCGGCATAGGTGGCCAGGAGCTCGTACGTGCTGCCAAACCGACGGGTCACCGGCTCCAGGGTCAGGAGAGTCTCCTTGCGCCGGGAATCGATGCCGATGGGGCCGGGGGTGACGCGCGCGGCTGCCAGGGCTGCCTCGGCCGCCGGGGAAATCCGCCGACGAAGGGCCAGCGTCTCGAGCGACGGAAGCAACGCCCCGCTGGCTCGGGGATCCAGGCGGCGATCCGCCAGCATGAAGGCCGTGAAGGGCGGCCGCAGGCACCGGGCCGCCGGCTCCAGGAGGAGCACGCGCTGATTGTCATTGCGCATGAGTCCAGCCCAGGCATTGTCCTGCGGTGCCTGGTTCAAAGCCGACCAAAGGGGATCCTCCACATCGGCCGTGCGCGTGAGCAGCGGACTGGCCGAGAAGTCCCGCTCCAGGGCGGCGGATGCCTCGCGCGTTGAGGCAAAGCGCCGGAAGGCATCCGGATTGGCGGTCAGGAATCCGGCAAAGGCCCCCTGATCGTGGCCGGAGTCATCCAGCAGCTGGTTCTGCCGATTGGCATGGGCCAGGCCCAGCAGGCCAACACCATTGAAGATGCCAGCCGAGTTGGCCACATTCCCCATCGAGGTGACCCCCTGCAAGAAGGCGTCCGTCCGGCTGAAGGACCAGTTGATCAGGGAGTCGGTGGTCGGCCGAGGAACATGGCGCAAGCGTTCCAGGCGCTTGGCCAGCTCGCCGACCGGCGGGGGAATGCGCACATCAAAGCGCAGGGGATGCTGGCTGGCCGTGGCGGTCAGCTGCGATGTCAGGAACCGGGCGTTCGGGCCGCCGGGCGCGGAGATGTCCATCACCATCGGACTGCCCTTGGACCAGGGGGTATTCTGGCTGGTGTGTCGCCGGGATGGCCAGAGCCAGCTGGACAGCAGGCGCGCATCGGCCGCCGCCACCGCCGCCACCAGGGACAGCCGCGTGGCCGAGGCGAAGGACAAGTGCGACGAAGCAAACACATCCATCGGCGACATCATGAAGAGACTGGACCCGGTCCAGCCACGGCTGGTGGCAGCCTCCAGGGCTCCGAAGGAGTGCGGTTCCATCCCGGCATAGAGGTGCCGCGAGCCGCCCTCCGGCAGGGGGTTTTTCCTGTCGGAAGCCGAAATGTCAATGTGCGGCAGAGGCTCCAGCCACTCGGGCCGCGAGATGTAGGAGTTCTCCATGACTCGGCGCAGGGCGCGTGGCGAAAGGACACGCAGGTCGCCACCGGCTCGGGTCAAGTTGGCCCCGGCCATCATCAGGTCCACATACTGCCGGCATAGGGACCGGATGGCCGGCCCGGGCGTGGGGGCCGTGGGGGTGATGACCGCGGCCGCGCGATTGAGACTGGCGATGCGCTCGGCGAGGTGGCCAAAGGCTGGTGATGGCCACCGACCGGCAGGGGAGGAAGGTCAGAAAGTCATGCACTGGTGGGTGGGAGGGGCGGGGGGGGGGGGGGGGGGGGGGGGGGGGGGGGGGGGGGGGGGGGGGGGGGGGGGGGGGGGGGGGGGGGGGGGGGGGGGGGGGGGGGGGGGGGGGGGGGGGGGGGGGGGGGGGGGGGGGGGGGGGGGGGGGGGGGGGGGGGGGGGGGGGGGGAGAGGGGGAATGCCCCGGCGAAGGGGACCCCATGGGTGCGTACTTGGCTGCAGGCGGCCATTCGGCTGGGCTGCCAGGCGCTGGTGCTCGGCAATCAGGTCCCCGGTGTGGCGTTCCAGGAGCAGGACCACCTGCTGGTCGATGGCCGCCTGGAGCCGGTTGAATTGGGCCCGGGTGACCCGGACCGCGACGCTACTTTGCCCGGCCCCGGGAGCCGGCGGCCCCGCGGCCAGCGAAGTGACCAGGGCCGCCTGCTCGAGCGACGGACCGGCCAAGGCGAAGAGGATGTCATCGAGGCTAATTCCGAAGAGGCTCCACCGGGAGAGGTCCGCGGCATTGTCCTCATTTAGGAGCGACTGTCGCAGGCGATAGGATGCAAGGACCTCGTCGGCCGCGCGGACGGCCCCATTGAGACGGGCCTCCAGCTGGGGGAAGTCCCCCTCGGGAACGACGGCCGGGTTATCGTCGGCAACCACGCGAAGACCCCGCAGGGGGGCTTCCAGCATGGCCACCGCCCAGGCAAGGCCCGGGTCCAGGCCGAAGGAGCGGCACTGGTCGATGATCAGCCCGCCGGACAGCAGGGGCGTGTGCGTCTCGCGATCGAAGAGGTCCAGCTCCGTGCCAACTCGCGAGGCGAGCATCATCTCCCGGGCAAATGCACCGGCAAAGGGCCGGGCATAGGGCCCCCGCGTGGAGTAGAACTGCTCAAGGGACGAAAGCGACGAGGACGAGTCATCCTCCTCCGGGGGTGGGATGAGAATCGGGTCCTGGCGCAGTGTGCGGAAGGTCATCTCGCCGCCGACCTGCATGAACCGAAGGTGGTCGATCACCGTGTTCAGCCGTGACGTCAAGGGGTTGCCGGAGATGGTGCGCTCCTGCAGGGGCATGTGGCTTGAGCGTGAGAGGAAGGAATTGCGCCAGATATCCTGGGTGTTCTCCGGCACAAAGGAGTGTTCCTCTACCGAGGCATATGTCAGTGGGGGAGAGGGGGGACCGGCGAAAAAAGAAGAAAAGGAAGAAGAGGAAGAAGAGGAGCAGGACGAAGACAGGAGGCTCCGCTGGCAGACGTACTGTTCATCAATCGCTGGTGGTTGTTGGACGCCGAAAAGTGGAAGAGGAACCGGACTGGCGGCGGGGGGGTCGACTTGTTGATGAGGATCGGCAGATTCCGGATGTGCAGATAGTCCGCCGAGTGCATGGCTTGCGACTCTGCAGGTAGGGACCAGTGGGTTAGAGAGGGTGGTGCGCGACTTGGCCGGCAGCAAAGGCGGGGACATACCACGGAGGTCCAGGCTATCCAGGAAGAGCGACTGGGTGTACAAATTGGTCAACGACTTGACGAGAGCCTGGGCATCGATCTCCGGATTGTCTGGGAAGGACAGTGCCAGGAAGGTTAGTGAGGCTCTCCGGGAGCGACGGACGGGGAGGGGGGGGGGGAGGGGGGGAGGGCGGTCACCCAAAGTGGTGGATGCACAACGTGGACATACGGGACAGATTCAGCGACCGGAGCTCCGAGTAGATGCCACGGGGCAGCTCGCTCCGAGATGTGGGCAGGCTTTGAACTCGCTCCAGGGCCGAGAGAAGAGTTTGCGCGCAACGCGTTGTCAAGCGGCAGTCTGAGGGTGCGGGGGGGGGGGGAGGAAAAGCCCGGAAGGATGGAGGGGCGGTGAGGGGCGGAGAAGAGGCGGCATGAGCACCGGATGAAAGCCAAGCAGGCGGCGCCAAAAAAAGAAAAGTGGACACGAGCCGGCGGCAGGGGCGGAGGGCAGGAGCGGAGGGGGGCGCACATTCCAGTGTAATTGAGCGCGCTAGGCAGCCACGGTTGGCAATCACCTCGGCGATGGCCTCGGCTAGATACTCACTCTGGCGGACATTTCGCCGGAGGGTCAGGTGCGTGACCGGAACTTGTTGGAGGAAAGAGGCGAAGTGGTGGGCAGAGCGCTCGGTCTCCGACTCGAAGCCGGAGATCGACAGGTGCTCGAGGCCCTTCTGGCTGGACAGGGCGATCATGATGTCGGTGAAGTCGTTGTCCTGGATGAGGCAGTCTTGGCGGGGGCGACGGCGCATGCATTTCCAAAGCGCGAAGGGGGTCAGGGGCGGGGAAGGCCAAAAGCAGGAAGGCATGGTGCAGCTCGAGAGTGGCGTACCATTCAGCGAGAGAGAGGTAAGATTCAGCGAGGGAAGGATCTTGCAGAGAAAATGCGAGTCAAAGGCGAAGCCTGCGAGCCGAGGCCGACGGAGGAGCGGTCACGGCGAGGATGGGTCAGACAAAGGGAAGGGCGCAGAGACATACGGGCAACGGGCGACAGAGAGAGGCAGAGAGGCAGAGAGGCAGAGAGAGAGAGAGGCAGAGAGGAAGAGGGAGGCGGGCCCGCTGGCCAGCAAGACGGGCTGGTGGTGGCACACATACCCGACAGGCGCAGATGCCGCAACGTGTCAGCATGATCGGCGATCGATTGGAAGATCTTTTCCTGGTTGGAGAACTTCATGGAAAAGCAGGGGGCCCCTGGAGCAAGTGACAGGACAGGAGGACGTCAGCAGCGCGGCACACATGGGTAACAAGGGGCACGAGTGGCACGCACCCCGGAAGGTGTTCGAATGGAAGGGCCGCGCATTGGCCGTGATGTATAGGTCCTGCAGGGAGGTGCTCAACTGGATGGACTCGGCAATCTGGGCCGTGGCTGGATATGGGCAAGGACGAGCATGTACACATGTGTGAAGGAGGACAAGGGGGATGGAGGGGGGGGGGAGGGGGAGGGGGAGGGGGGGATGTCAGCACAGGGACCAGGGAGAAGAAGCACAGGGAAAGCGCAAGAGAGGGGGACCCGTGTATGCTGGAAGCCAGGGGGCGGAAGGGGGGCCCGGCCAAGGGCATGACGCACCGTCCACCGGCTGAGCCAGGAAGATGGAAAGCTGGCTCAGTGGGCTGAAGGGGTTCTCATCGCCCGGGGGCCGAGACCGGAAGACCGAAAGCGGGGTGCTTGGCCGGATGGCCGGGACCTGGCCGGTCGGCAGGCCAGAAGTCTCGGCATCAGGAAGGACGGCCAGGCCCAGGGAGCTGTTGGCCGAGATCGGCTCCAGCGAGTTGCGGCTGGTGAAGCGCGCGTGCTGCAATTGGGCCTGCGACATGATCGGCGACATATCGCGTTGGATTTGCTTCGAAAATTGAACCATGCAATTGGCAAAGGTCAGCTCCCGCCCGGGGAGGTATGCCCGGGGGTAGGAGGATTTCTCATGGCCAAAGTGCAGGTCGCTGCGCGAGGCCTGTGCCGCCAGAAGCGACGGGCTTAGTACTCGCAGATGCGAAAAAACCGGCGGCGCGCCGTGCAAAAAGCGCGACGGCAGCATCCTGGCAGGAGAAGGGGAAGAGGGGGAAGGGGGGG